TGTCACACAACTCAGTGAGCACAGGACATCACTCCCTGGAACTGGGGGTTCCAGGGAACCAATATGCACAGATTTTCTGTGTGCTGCTAGTAACAAAGCATTTTCTCTGCCTGGGGAATCTCACTTCTACTACCATTTATGAAAACACGTGGCAGGCATAAAAGATAAAGAAGGTAAGTGGGGGGGGGCTGATACTGTAACTATGGGTGACTGCCAGGACAGCTAAAAATTACTGCAAGATTACTTTTCCTCTAACTGAAATTCTTTCAGATTGTTTCAAGTCAATGGAGGGATCCAGCTGTAACAAGAGGCTATTTGAAATGAGCACTTCTGGGAGAGGGAGATCAGTTTCCTTCAGCTCAGTGGCACTGAGTATGTCTGCACTCTGTAGGGGAGGCCCCACACTAAGGAGCAGTGGATCAATACAACTCCACACTTCGTTTTTAATGTGTACTTTTAGTTTTGTTTTGCTATTTTACTTTCTGGTATCTTTCTTTGTTGTTTTGACTATTTTTTGAGAGTGAGAAAGAAAAATAAGAATTGAGAATAAAATCAATAAGAAAGAATAGTGGAGGAGCTGACAGACATGAACATGCTAGGCAAGGGATCTTCCAGGAGCTACATCTCCACCCGGATGCATCTTAACAAAGGGGAATAGCAGGGGGAGAATCTGGGCTCTATGAGACAATATCCAGTCAAAGGTTTGAGTAAGATGACATACTACCATTTCTTGCTTAATGCCTTCCCAAGTTTTGATTTAAGAAAGCTTCTTATGAAAGTTACCTTATGTGGGTATTTTATTTTTGAATGTATTATAATTTCAATATTTAGTAGCTAAGAGTTTTGAAAATGTAACCCAAATTAGTATTCATTGTAACTACATATTGGTACTTGAAGATTTCTTTAAAATAAATCCAGCCTTTTAGACTGTCTAGCTTTAACAAACAAAAACTCTTATTCAAAAAGATGCTATTTTTATGAATTACAAATGGAGATTATGTTGAAATGGGAAACAATTTGCAATAAAAGAGTCCGTTTAGGTCATTTAATCATTTCAAATGCTTTTAAATTCTTTAAAAGTAAGTTTGAGAGATTTAAAAAAATGTGTTTCATTAAGTTTTGCATGTCTTTACTATGCTACATAAATTCTCTTATGATTAAGAGGAGGTTACGATGAAATGATTGCTTGACCTACATTTATTTGTAGCAATTACATAAGAATTTGAGTCTTCTATGGTTTGGATTTGCTCATTTCTGTGAATGATGTTAGGGAAGGCTGTTGGTGCTTTTCCCAACCTCACCTCTCCGTCTTCCTTAATGTTTGAAGGGCTCTACTATTCAGCAAATTGTCCTGAGGAGGGGCGTGGGGAGGAAGAGAGCATCTGGAAAGAGGGATTGAGAGAGGGAAAAAGAAAGAAACAGAACGGGTATCCATTTATATGCAAACATGCTTTGTTTTAATATATACTGGAAGGATAAACTAGAAGTCAGTAAAACCGACTAAGAGTGGGTAGAGAAAGGACTAGAGAGGAAGGGAATGACACATCTCTAAGAATACCACTATATGATTTTGACCTCTGCAAGTAAGTTCGTATCATACATATTCAAATTTCTGATAAAACCAACAAGAATAGACAAAACCATTTAAGCCAGATGCAAAAAACACAAGTGAGACCAACTATAGTCCAAATGAATAACATCACTATACTCAAGGACGGAAAACTGAACAAAAATACCAAATTATCTTTAGCAGTTTTGTTTTTCAGTTATGCAATAATTCTGAAACTATTGTATATGCATATAATTCAGAACACGAGTAGACACAGTGATGTTAAGAATGTCTTTACCCCACAACCTCTCCAGCATAAATTGTCATCAGTGTTTTTGACCTTGGACATTCTTACAGGTGTAAGATGGAATCTCAGAGTTGTTCTGATTTGCATTTCTCTGAAAGCTAAAGATGTTGAACATTCAGTCCTTTTGAATATCGGTATGGAGATTTCTCAGAAAATTAGGAAACAATCTACCTCAAGACCTAGTAATACCACTTTTGGGTATACATCCAAAGGATGCTCAATCGTACCACATGGACACGTGTGCTCAACTATGTTCATAAGCAGCATTGTTTGTTATAACCAGAACCTGAAAACAACCTAAATGCCCCTCAACCGACGAATGGATAAGAAAAATGCGGTAAATTCACACAATGGAGTAATACACAGTGGAAAAAATAATGACACCTTGAAATTTGCAGGCAAATGGATGGAGCTAGAAAACATCATATTGAATAAAGTAACCCAGACCCAGAAAGACAATTATCATATGTACTCACTCATAAGTGGTTCTTAAACATAAAACAAAGAAAGCCAGCCTACAAATCACAATTTCAGAGAACCCAGACAATAAGGAGGACCCTAAGAGAGACATATATAGATATAATCTACATGGGAAGTAGAAAAAGAAAAGATCTCCTGAGTAAATTGGGAGCATGGGAACCATAGGAGTCAGTTGAAGGGGAGGGGAGAGGAAGGAAAGGGGGCAGAGAAAAATGTAGAGCTCAATAAAATCAATTAAAAAAATCGGGGTTCTCATTTTGACACAGAAAAACAAGTTCAATATGGGAGAAGACAATGAAGAACTCTGGGAATTGGATTTGAAAGGTATAGTATGACTATGCTTTTTTGAAAAAAAAAATTGTGTGGGTGTGCATGTGTATTTGTGTATGTGTTCATGTGTACGTGTGCACATGCACATCTTCCCATTCTTGTTGGTAGTTCTTGTCATTCAGGAAAAAGATACAGAAAGACCCTGAGTTCAAAGCTACTTTAAAGATCCCTCTCAAAAAATAGCTTGACAAATATTTATATATTAAATATGAATTGTGTATCTATCAAACTCCAATATATCTATTTTTGTAATATAAACTGAACATTCCTAAGGATAAAGAAGTCATAAACACAGGCCAGTGAGTAAGAGAGCTTGGTGCACAGCCTGACCACCTGAGGGAACTCCCAAAAGAACATGCAAGTGGAAGGGACCTTCCACATGTTTGCCTCAGCACACACACTGAAACAGAGACCCTGACAGTAAGAATAGTAAACATAATTTAAACCTTAAAAGTTGAATTTATTATTTTCTGAGGGATACGAAAGATTAAATACAGAGAGGTTTATTCATTTATTTATTATATTGATTTATTTTTAACAAAAAGAAACATTTGGGTGCTGTGGGACAATGGTCTTGTACCTTTAAAGATTTGTCACTTGTATTGGTTTAATAAAATGCTGACTGGTCAGGAGCCAGACAAGAAGTAGAGGTGGGGCAATCAGAACAGGAAAATTCTGGGAAGAGGGAAAGAATCGGTCTGCAGTTGTCACCCAGACACAGAGGAAGCAAGATAAGAATGCCTCATTGATAAAAGGTACCAAGCCATGTGGTTAACACAGACAAGAATTATGGGTTAACGTAAGATGTAAGAGTTAATAAGAAAGCTTGTGCTACTAGGCCATCCAGTTTACAACTAATGTAGAGCTCTGTGTAGTTCTTTGTGAATGAACAGCTGTGGAAGCAAGTGGCACAGAATCGTCGCTCAACATGTGGGAGTCTGCTCTCTCCTTCCATAAAATGGGTCTGTGGGGTCTAGCTTGGGTGACAGGACCTGTGGTACTACATTTACCTACTGAGTGATCCGCAGGCCTAAAACATTCAACTAAATAACAAATTAAAAGGGAATTACCAAAGTTCATTTGATAGTATAGTATCAAATATCTTTTGATATAAACTACCAATTGATATAGGAGCATGATGTTTCAATTAACATTTTATTATGATGTTATATCCTAAATTACTTATGTAATTATTAAGTGATAAAGAGAAGCGTGGGAATACTTTTCAAAGATGACAATCATAATGTTATTTACTTATGTCCAATACTGCTAAACTTTTCTAATTAAGTACATAGTTTTTCAAAAATTAGATTTTTTCAAAAATATTTTGAAAGATCTAGGGTTTTTTTTTTTGAGTTCCTTCAGTTGTTAAAAAATTTTCTAACTCTGAAATTTCTGCGAGTAAAATGAAGTGAGGAGGGAGTAACCAAAATGCATTATACACACCCACAAAATTGGCAATGAGCAAAAGTAAGTGTAAACATGAAGCTGCCTCTTGCCACTGTTTTTCTTTTGTGGAAGCAGAACAAAAGTACATTAATAGTTAACAAAGCTAGAGTATGATATATGAATGAAGCTTCTCAAGTTTAAAAGTACTTAGACTGTATTTACAAAAGATCACTACCATTAATTATTCAACATTTGGATTTGACCAGAAACCAGAGCATGAGTCTATAAGGCTCTGTTTAAACGAACTACTTAATGCTATAGTGAACACTTTATCCAGTCAACCCAGTGAACTGCTATAAAGGGCCCTTCCAACTTTTTAATTCAGTGGACAGATTTTAATGCTAAATCAGTTTAAATTTCATTTGTTCTTTAAAAATGCTTGCTCAAAACAAAATTGTGCATCTCAATTATTTTATATACTAAAACCAAATATAGTTTAAGCCAATGCATTATTCATAAAGAAAGACATCAGGAAAAACAAAGCTGCGCATTTCCTTCAAAGCTGTTAAACTGCTGGAACATACACATTTATACAAGCAATGTTTGATTGTATTTTTCTTAAAACATGTGCTTGTTTGTGTCAGATCAAGATATGCCAAAAATTCTACACCTACTTTTGCTTCTAATTAAAGCAATCATCAATCCAAGGATTGTCATTCATTTTATTTCATCTCTACATCAAAAAAAACTAATTTAAAAAAATTTAATTCCCTCGAAATGGTAAGATAAATGAAAAGGTAAGTGCCTTCACATAATACCAGTAGGCTGAGCCTTTGGGAACTGGTTGACTTTCACTACAAGGCATTCAAAACTCATGCAAAAGTGTTCATTTAGGATGCAGATATCAAAGACGATGCAAATGTTCAAGAGGAATTTAGGGCTTACCAGATGTTCTAATCCAGCTTTGATGTTTCCAGATTCCCTAAAAAAAAAAAAGAAGAAGAAGAAAAGTTCTAAATAGCTACTAAACCCTTGTCCGCTCTAATTTATGTTTACCTGAAAATGCTTTATAAAACGTTGGAATTTTTCATTTATCTTTACTAAAGTTCATAATGACATTATTTTTTGAAAATATCTACCAACAGAGAACAATTTTTTTCCAAATTAGTATTACCTTTTAAAGGTTTATTTGACTAACAGAAAAAAATATTTTATATTTTTCTGTCAAAGGAGAACAACAAAAAATGTCAAGAACATTCTTTATTATTCACACAATGTTTATTGACATTAGCTTTTTAAACTTATGAAAATGTTCAACCACAAAGTCTACCCACCATGTATACTCTGTAACTGCACACTTCTGAGAACTTGGTTAAATAACAAAAACATTGATGAATAATTTTTGAAGGATACTTAGTTTCACTATAAATCAAGATCTATAATTATTATATTGAGAAAATATCAATAAAAATCAGACAGGATGTACATAATATCTTGTTTTTGACTATAAAGAAACTCCTAGTAGAACCAGAATTAAATATTTATACAAATTGCAAAGACAATTTAGACATCAGTTGAAGTATGGCAAATACTTGGATTTTTTTTAAAAGTTTACTTTTTAAAAAAGATTTCTTTATTTATTAAGCATACAATAATTTATTAAGCAAGGAAGGCACCAGGTCTCATTACAGATGGTTGTGAGCCACCATGTGATTGCTGGGAATTGAATTAGGGACCTCTGGAAGAGCAGCCAGTGCTCTTACCCTCTGAGCCATCTCTCCAGCCCCTAAAGGTTTACTTTTCTTAAAAAAAAAAAAAAATTCTTTTATTTTTCAATTTTTATATAATTACATTATTTTATCCTTTCTTTTCCTCTGTCTAACCATCTATACAACCCTCTTTTTCATATTTATTATCTCTTTTTTCATTAATTGTTTTACATTCTTATATGTATATCAATGCCTTCACTTATATAACTAAATATAACCTGATTGGTCATTATGTTGCTTGTTTGTATGTATTCAGGGCTGACCATTTGGTAGTGCATAACTCATTAGTGTGCTCTTCCCTAGGGAAGACTATTCTCCTACTTTCAGCAGTCCTTATTTGCCTATAGCTCTTGTATAGGGCTAAAGCCTCATGGTCTTTTCCCCACACATTTTGGCATGTCTGTCATTGCCTTTGTGTAGCCCATGTTTAGACATTCATGGTGGTGAGACTTTATGGGCATAGCTTCTGACATTACTTCAAGACACAGTCTCAGAGCAAACTCCTTGATTCTCTTACTCCTACAATATTCCCACAATTTCTTCTACAATGTTTCCTGGGCTGAAGGTGTACACATAGTTTTGTAGCAGCATCTATTGAGACTGGGCTTTACAACTCTGTGTTGATTGGCTGTGGTTTTCTACAGTGGTGTCTACCTGATGTAAAACGAAGTTCCTCTGATGAGCAGTGAGAACAACAGTTATCTGTGGGTATAAGGACAAATATTTAGAGTGTGCTTGATGTAGTTCACAGGCATCATAGCTGAGTAGTATTGCAGGTTGTTTCACCCCCTTGGCTGCTTGCCTGGCATCTTCTGCTGCACAGGGAAGAAGCATTCGGTTAAGTTCCAGCTCAGAGGCCTCTGACCCTATGTCTTAAGTGCATAGGAATGCTGCATGACTATACGTACACATGCATGCAGTACCTCACACAGACCAGAAGAGAGTGTCAGAATCCACAGACACTATTGTTAACGGAGTTTGTTAAGCCACTTGGATCCTCTACAATACTGAGTAAGTACTCTTAACTGCTGAGCCAGCCACTCAGTGGATTTCCTAGAAGACTGCAATGATATCAAGTTTATTAATGACAAGTGTGAACTTTAAATCTCCTACTATGACCAAGCAATATTTTACTTTCAGCATGATTACAGGTCTGACCAAGTTTTTAACTATTTGTTTTAGTTTGGAGAGACTGCTCAGAAGATAAGAGTATGTACTGCTCTTGTAAAGAATCCTAGTTTGCTTCCCAACAACCACACTAACTGGCTCACAATTGCCTGTAAATACAATTCCAGGGAATCCAATATTCTCTTCTGATCTCCATGGGCACCTGAACTCACATACACATACCCTACACATACACATATAATTAAAAATAAAATAAATCTAACTGGTGTATACATGTGAGCCTGTGTAAGGGATTATGCACACATGACTGCAAGTGCCTGCATCACATAAAAGAGGGTCTTGGCCTCCTATAGGCAGTTTAAATTCTGAGTTACACACTAGAGAATGCCCTTGTGAAAAGAAAGATTTCTTTGCATTCCAGTTCAACTACACACATTTGGATTTATAATAAAATTTTAAATAATTATAGTCTCTGCTCATACCTTGCAGTAATTACTTCTTGCCTCTTAGGATTATGCTGACATCAGAGGTTAGATGAAGAGTTGCACTAGCCCTCACATCTCTACACTGAATGTATCATTTTGCGAAGGTGATACCACGTCTGGCTGCAATAATACATTTTAATATGTGTTTTGAGTGGCATATCTGACAGAAAACTAGATAGTATCATTGGCACATCTCTTCGATTACTACCAAACACAAGCAAACATAATCTACCAGTCTTTGTTATTCAATAGCCTTAATTATTACCACCTAAGTACTTTTTGTTTTTGTTTTGTTTCATTTTGTTTTCAAGACAGGATTTCTCTGTAGCTTTGGAGCCTGTCCTGGATCTCACTTTGTAGACCAGGCTGGCCTCCAACTCACGGAGATCCACCTGCCTCTGTCCCTTGAGTGCTGGGAATAAAGGCATGCACCACCACCTCCCAGTTCACCTATGTACGTTTTTCTGTTTCACAGGTGGCACCTTACTTGAGACTATCCTCTTTCCTCACTTAATCACTACACCAGCTTCTTACTAAATCTCAAAGGCTCCTGCCTTGTTCGGTGTCAATGCAGCTTCCATAATAAACTGAAATCTTTCTAAGGTAGAAGTTTTCTTAATATGGGTATCTTACCAAAGCTACACGACATGGAAAGTAACAGCAATAGCCAAGTTGAGCACACTATTAATAGTTTTCACTCCTAATGAGCTCTCTCTCTCTCTCTCTCTCTCTCTCTCTCTCTCTCACACACACACACACACACACACACACACACACACACACTGCTCCTTTCTTTCAGTCTCCCCCAATTCTCATTTTACTAACAACAGGATGAAAAAAAACTTTTAGAAGTCCTAAGCTCTGTTTCAATCACTGATTAAGAAAATGTGCCACAGGAATGTCCACAGGCCAATCAGGTGGGGACATTTTCTCAATTAGGTCTCCATCTTCGCAAGGGACTCAAGCTGTGTGAAGCTGCCACAGAACCTGCCAGCACAAACCCTATCAGCGAGCCACAAAGAGCAAGGGGTTTTAACCTGTGAGGGGTTATCCTGGATAGAAAGTAGCATGAAAAGACGGGTGGGAAAGGTTCTGTGTGCATGTGTGAACACGTGTGGAGTGAGTGGTTGTTTGGCTTTTTTAAAAATAGTGTTGTTGAAGGAGATGTCCTAGAACAGTACAGTCTTACCACTCCAGCTGCCAGGGAAGGAGATTCTCCTGTAAAGGGAAGGAATAAGAAAGCAGGGCAGGGTGGTGCACACCTTGCCTTTAATCCCAGCAATCAGAGGCAGAGGCAGGTGTGAGTTCAAGGCCAGCCTGGGCTACGGGAGCTAGTTCCAGGAAAGGGTCCAAAGACACAGAGAACCCCTGCCTTGAAAAGCAAAAACAAAACAAAACAAAACAAAAGGAATAGGAAATGTCTGAAATAATTAACGCGATGAACACAAATCAAAAAGACAAAATAACCCAGAAGAGTTTCCCAAAATGTATTTAAAAATGATCAGATGATTCTCAACAAAAACTTTAATGGCAAATATATTTACATTCCCCGTCTCCTCCAGATGTATACATTAAACACCCCTCAGAACAAAGAAAAAGCAACGTGAGTGGCTTTGATGGGCGTTTTATATGTTAATAAGACAATAATATGTTATTTTGGTTCTAGAAGCAGAATATCTAAATTTGAATTTAATTTCTATTACAAAATACCCACACAAGCTTAGTGATTACCCAACTCCACAGAAGCTACAAATGGGAGCTTGAGGAAAATTAACGCCACAACATAAATATAACTAAGACTTGCCTAATGCATATGTTGTTTCTAAAGAATACGTAAGAGAATACATACGAAGGTCCATCCTAAACTATAAGGTGCTATAGAAATTATGTTGCAGCAGGTGGCATTTAGTACAAAAGACTTAAAAATCATTACAGAAGCCTTAATGATTTTCTTTTTTAAATAGAGACACAAACTCCAAAACACTGATAAAAGGCTCGTCCACAAACAGTAGCAAACCTGTCCTCTTAGTGGTCTGTCTCTTGGGCTGTCCCTGTCACGACTTCATCAATATTTGTGCAACTCCTTTTGCCCTGTGCTGAAAGCAGACTTAATTCAATTATAGGTCTCAAAACTGATAAAATGGTCCTGAAGTGGAAAATGGGAAGAGATTATTGGCAAATGAATAAAGATTTGTATCGAACTAACACACAGGAGTACAGCGGGTCTTTTTTTTTTTTTTTTAATCATTCCCTGTCTTAAATCTTCTGGGAACCATGAGTTTCCCTTCCCCTCATGCAGCACATCGATTTCTGAATTAGACTGCAATATTAAATAATTAATATACTTGCCATGATTGATGCTCTGCATTAGTTGAATATTAGGTTATCAATCAAAATCCACTTGGTTTAATGTAATAATATTGAAAAAGTGTCACGAGTTGTTCATCCAATTTGTAGTTGAGGCAGCACAGATAGTAATGTTTGTAGAACAGGGCTCTAGAGCAGGAAGTGCAGTAGCTCAGCACTGGGAGGCAGGCATGGTCAGACCGAGCCTGAGAGGCCAGGGTACACATGTGAACCATGTGCACCCTATTGTCGTA